CCATTTTACTTTAAAATAAGCAAATTGAAGCCCTATTCTTAATTTTTTTGCAACCTAAACATTGATATTTATGGATATGTGTGTATATATATATATATATGATTATATATTTATAAGCCACTTCAAATTCAGGTGGAAATGTTAGAATATAAAAAAGGTTTATTTTTACCTCATAAATATCTTTTACTTTTGAATAATCTATTATAGGTTTTTCTGTTAAGAGTTTAACGATTTCTTGTAATTCTTTTGCCTCGTCAACATTCATTATGAACTAATTAATAAATATATTATTGATATTGTTTAATTGTCAATACATCCATGAATATTTAATTAATTAATTAATTACATTTATTTAATTGTAAAAAATAAATCTTACATATTTTTATTATTTTTTGATATAAAATAATTACTTGTGGATATTTTTTTTATTGGTATTAGAGGAAAAGGAAGAGAAAGAAGGATGATGTGAAAGCATGGTTTTTTTTATTTATTTATATAAAAAATTTTTTTTTAGACTTTGAATTAATTGGATTAATTGGCGGAAGAAAAGGTTAGAGAATGAACATGACAAAAGCAAGAGTATATTGGTTGTTTACTAAAAGAGGAAATTAAACATCTGTAATCGATTATTTTAATAGTAGATGTTACACGAACTATGCACACGTTGTTGAATAATCAAGAAATTCCGATTAATTAAATGAAATTGTGATTTTCAAATAAAAGTGTAAATTTTCTTAAGTTTTACTAATAGATTTACATGTAACCTCTGATATGGTTGTTGAGTGTTGTAATCTGTATAAAATGCTAGTTGACCTCTTGATTTTTTTTTGCAATGTCAGAATTATTAAACATAGTATGCTAGTATTGATTAAATAAGCAACAAAATGCTTACTATAAATAGCAAGTTTCAAACATATACAACATACCCATAGAACCAATAAATTCCAAACATTTATGATGATGAGCATAACCACATATTAACATTATACCTTCTTGTTCATCCTCTTTGATCACAACAATCATAGTTATTATTAGATGGTGGTTTAGAACTAACCAGCTGGTAATTTTAATCATTCGTTAAATCTTTTAAATGTGAATGTTAATAATAATAATGACAACAACTACTGCAACAAAATCAGACAAAGTGACCGTTTGCATTACTAAGGATTTCAGGCATTAAAATTCCAATGTAATGTGATTAACAATTTTATAATATCCTATTTGTATTTCTGGAACAGATCATTGTGATGTTCATGTTCCTGTTGTTGGAGGTCATAGTGGCATGATTATTGTTCCACTATTATCTAAAATTTCATCACCTTATAATTTCACACAAGATCAAATTTTTTCACTAACAAATCATATTCAATTTGGTAAATTTTATTTTTATATTATAATAAATTATCAAGTCTTTTTTGATATAAAATTATACATGTATCTATTTATTGTAAAGGTGGTGATGAAGTTGTTAAAGCAAAAGATAATACTGGATCTGCAACTCTTTCTATGGCATACACTATTAATCTTGATGCTGATCAGAGAAGGTAGCTTCCAACTTAAAATGCAATTAATAACTTGGAACATTTTTCAACAAATATTGAATTGGATGTAAGATTCGCTTTAGCCAAACAATGTTTCGAAGATTCTTCCATTTGGTAATCTCACTGAATATGAACAATCGGCTTTTTAAGGCTACAATTCCTGAACTTAAAGTGAACATTAATAAGGGTGCCTCTTTTATGATAGAAAAACCAAAATTGTAAAAAATTGTAAAATTATCCATCCTCTTAATTAAAACAAACAAACAAACAACTTGATTAAGGTTTTTTTCATAATCTTTTTATAGTGGAAACTTACTAAATTCCATGAAATGTATCCATCCATAGTTAAAGCTCCGAACGGTTCGGTTTTTCGGTTTACATTTGACCCAAAAATTTCAGACATTCTAAATTCAAAAAATTATAATAATTGTAGCTTAGTTTAGCGAAGTAGAGATGCTGGAAGGATCCTGTTTCTGAATACTATAATTTTATACCATGGTAACGATGGTATGGAGATCATGATTGAATTTTATACATAATACCACGTTTAGATACAGCTGTTCAGTTATAGGTCGGATCGTTACATATTCATAGATTCACCACAAAAATTTGTAGTTTAGAGTTCCCATTCATTCTTATTCAAATTATTCGTTTATTCGTTTTATTCGAATTATTCATTTTATTCGTTTTATTCGTTTTATTCGTTTTGTTTGAATAGAAATCCTAAGGATGTTCTACTTTTTCAATTCATATATAAAATTCATTGTCTCCGCAAAATTTTAAACTCTTATTGTTTCAGGTTCTAAAATACAACGTCTTTGAGTAATTAAGTCTGTGCTCAGAAAAAACTCGTTCACTGGTTGTTACTAGATTAGAAAACAGTGAGTTTGGCGCAAAAATTAGAATACCAGGAACTGACAAGTAGTTTTTAGCCTAAGCTCTGAACAGTTCGGTTCAAACTGAACTGAACCGAAATTTTTCAGCTTGACTTTTTAGAATCCGAAACCGAACCGAACCGAAATTCTTCGGTTTGAACCGAACCGTTCAGAGCTTTAACCATAGTATAGTAATTGTAATTACAGTAATTATTTTCAGCTTTCCAATTATGAACACAACAACAATTTCGATATTAAAATTAACTACGGCCACTATGATTATTAGTTTTTTTTCAATGTCATCATAATCTTAAAATTTTTTTTTTTGGCTATAGTAAAAATACAATAACAATCAAATAAACAAATACCCTCATATCTAATCAAATTAGACCGTTTGGGCCAACATATCACCACATTTTCTTTCCATGTGGCTGTTATAATCACACTTCAATAAGAAAATTGTAGCGAATACATCCACGACACCCCAAATCTAATAATGTGATTTTATCATCTTTTTATATTTTTAATATTTAAATATTATATTATTATTACACAATGAATCTTGGTTTAGTGGACCCTAACTTAGCGGATACTAATCAAAAATCTCGATTTAATGGATGAAGTAAACCCCTTCTTATTATAACGGATTTTGGAAAATTGCCCAAACTATTTGTTAAACCGAGATTCACCATATATCTCTACTACTACTATTATTATAATTATGACTATATTATTATTATTATTGTTGTTGTTGTTGTTGTTGTTATTTTATTTCTTTTCATATGTTTGTTGATACCAAAACGTATTTCTATATTTACAACTTCCTGATAACGTGTTTTCCATGACATTACATAAGATTTTCTTCTTTCTGTATAATATAAAACTTCATGTGATCGTAAATGACTTTTGGTATATTTTCTTTTACCAGATCAATGGACATGAATTGGTTTTTATCTTGATATATTCTCCAATATGTTTCATCAAACATATTTCCAGTTACTATATGATTACTAGTACACAGTGAGTCTCGGTTTAGTGGATCTTGGTTTAGTGATTTGGGGTTTAACAGATAAATTTCAAACCCAAATTTTTCTACAACTACAATTATTTTATCTCGCTTTAACAGATTTAACAGATTTTTTAATATGTCATTATCCTTGGATTGGGTGCAAGCTGCGACTGTTCTTGCCTTTTTTGGCTAGCCTAATTTCATAAGATAAATTGCGTAATGTATTATTATTATTATTTATAAATATAAAAAATAATAATAACAATGTATGTATTAGTATTAATTTATACCCCGTGGTTTGATCAAATAAGTTTCGCTTTTGCGGATCCCTTTGTTTAACAGCAGTGTTGAGTGCGGGGAATACGGGGTGTAACATCACACACCATCAAAATTTTAATTTTGTACTAGTTATAATAAATTTTCTGGAAAAAAATACCCGTTAAACCGAGATTCATTGTTATTGTGCATCATTTAGTCGAATCATGAAATTAAAGAACAACTCTCAATACTGGCATAATTCGATAAATTCATAAAATCCACCATGCCAAACCTATGAATTTGACAAGCTTCGACTGTATGTGAATTTCAAATTCACATAGACTATACAACATTTACCGTGGGGCTAGAGTTTAATAAATTAATAATTGTTTTGTCACATGCAAGTCGAGAAATGATTTTTTCCTATAGAAGGATAATAATAAGATCCTTAATAAAATTTATTCGTAAAACATATAATAATAATAATATTTATACAAAGTTTACTATTATTAGTTAATTTAAGGGTATTTAAAGAACGAAGTTGGCACACAATGAAAAGTAACATAGTGGACATTCGTTTTATCCGTTTTATCACATGTGGGGCAGACTGCAACAAAACAAGACAAAGTGAACATTGGTATTATCAAGAATTTCAGGGATCAAAATTTGTAATGTGATTATAATTTGTTATCTTAAGTGATATATAGAACTACTCTTATGTGAAAATAGTTAATATGAAACTTATTTACATCAGATCTACCATGGAACCTAAGAATTACAGCACTATTAGAAGTATTCTAAAAAAAGAACAAGGTGAAAAAATTGCTCCTTACATTTTCAAAATAAATGATACTCAAACACTAGAAACTTATCTAAGAAAAGAAAGTATTACCTATGAAATTTACCATGAAGAAAGGAAAATAATAAGCAATAAATGAACCTTAACATCAGCTCATGATGAACCAAGAAAGAAAAGAAGACTGGCAGAATAAACAATCAAATCATTATTAATCATCATCTTCATCATCCTCTTCTTCTAGTTCAGCTGGGGAGTTTCATCATTGAGCAAGGAGTTTTCTTTTTCAAATCGCTCAAATAGTTCCGGCGAATAATAAGAGTAAGCCCAGTCCACTTAGTCAAGCGGCAGGGTTATTAGTTCTTCAGAATCCTTCCTTAGAAGTAGGTTGGCTTTCAGTAGCTTTTTGTTTAGCATAACTATGGTTAATTCCGGCAAGTTTTTCGAAATAGTATTTTTTAATTCCGGCTTCAGTTGGACTAGCTCCATCCCCGTAGAGGTTCCAATCTAAGCTTTTAGCTTGGTCCGCTGGATTCCGATCAGCTTTCATTTCAGTTTCAATTTCTCCTTTCTTAGCACTGTCATGTTTAATGTGATAAGTTGCGGAGAAAGTAATGACATGTTGAGGAGGCAAAGTGAAGAAATATTCTTCTTTTTGATAATCACTAGCAGTATCAGCGGGAAATTCAGGAACTTTTTTACCTTTTAAATAATCCTTGAGTTCTGTGAAAAAAGTACTTTTATCTTCTAAGTTATTGAGAATGTTGCCAATCTCTTTAAGTTTATTAACATCAGTTTTGAAGAAGTTTTTATCACCATAATTTTTTCATTCCTTAACTAAAGAATTAGGGATATCCGCATCAGTTTTGAAAACTAACCGCAAGTTTTCAGCTCTTAATCTTGATTCAGTTAAGTAATTATTAATCGTCAATAGCTCTGCTTCTTCTTCCGAACTAAGACCTTGGTTTTGCCTAGCTTTCTCCAAAGCAATTTTAATCACCTCAAAGTAAGTTCTAATTCCTTTTTCTTCTAAGACTCTTCCTTCGTTCTTTTCCAAATTATCTAATCTTTCTTGGAAATTGCTACCAAGTGCTTTCCAAGTTCCGTAAGTACTGAGAGTAGCATTGCGAACAGTCTCTAATTGTTCTACGCGAGTGAGATATCCTTTTTCAGTAGCCGTAAGGGGAGTTTCTAATTTGCCCTCATTTTCTAAATCAGTTAAGAAGTAAATCAAAGTTCTAATGGCAATTGTTTCTTGATAAGTGATAACATTTACATCACTTGGATTAGTTAGTTTATCTCCTAAATGTTTAAGTTGAGTTCGTAAATGATCAATCCTTCCAGTTTCGAGGGCTTTGATTTGATTTTGGATTTGGATTAGTTTTTGTTCTTTGTCAGCTTTTTGAAGACTAATTTTAGTTAACTCACTTCTTTTTTTTCCTAATTCCGCATGAATGCTTTCTAAACCTACTCGTTTATCAGCCATAATAGTTTTTCATTCATCTCACAGGTCAATCATTCTTTCAGTAACTTCATCTTCCTCTACTTTACCATAATTAGTTAATCACTTAACTTGATGAGCATTAAATTCTGAAAATTTAACTTTTAACTCATCAAATTTTAAACTTCTTGCTCTAGCATTAAACTCTAAAAAAGTTTTTGCAACTTCCTTTGATATTTTTCTATTAATACTTTGCCATTCTTTAGACAAGGCATCCACCTCACTTTTGATTGAAATAAAAGATTACCACTGACATCTTTGGCATTTTTGAGAAAATCTTCCACATACAATTCGTAGTTTAATCTCATAAAATATCGAATGGGGTTATATAAATGCCATTTTTTCTCATAAAGCGTTATTGCTTCCTCATGAACTTTTTCATTATTAACAGCATCTTTACTTAATACTTCATCATAAACCCCTCAAGTAATCGCCTCATCACTATTATAAATTTGCCAAAAGAATTCGGCGATTTGACCATCTGCCCAAGTTAAAGGCTTTTCTTCATAAGGAAAAAAAACTTTATGAGCTTGAAAAAAGTTTGCACTAACATCCGCATATTTTTTCC